CTATCGTGGCAAATCAAGCTGAAACTATTTGCACTCAATGTTTCCACAGTATGAAACCATAAAGTTGTCACGGTTGTCTCGAATTATGTAAACAATGTGCTGCAATGTGGTGAATATTAAGTTGATTGTAAAGTCACTTGTTTTCATTGCTAACAAAACATTTATGCCTTTACCCTTTGATCAAAGACAGCAAGGTTAAGTTTGAAACCACGAAAAAGCTACTGATATTTAAATATTTCTCAGGATCGAGCGAGAGGATTTTATTCAGCTACTTAGCCATTCATATGCAATGCATACACGGCAAACAACTTAAAAGTGTGCTGTGCTACCATTCGTATCTCAGAAACTATTTAATCTAGAAAACCATTATATGGAAAATTTCAACTATTTTCTTCTGACAAAAAAATTAATTTAACTTTTTTTAAATGGCGGCCATTTTCCAATGGCGGTTAATTTTGAAATGTCTTATGGAACACCTTGTATTTTATAACAGTTTTAGAATGTAAATGCAAGACGTTTTTAATTTTTACATTTTTTCTCTAAAGCTACTTGTTTAGGAGCTAGTTCCACCTGGGAAAAAGTGTCTTGTTTTGTACATTCTGGTGTAGCTCCTATACTTGTAAGTTTTGAGAGAAAGTTATAAGTCTTGAAATTATATCTACATTCTAAAAAGATCATCAAATACACTAAAAGTATGAGTTCTACTTTTTTTTAATTACGGCTATTTTTAAAAATTATTTTGCAACAACCTGTATTTTATGGCATGTTGACAATAAATGTGTCTCCATGGAAACAATTTAATTCATTAACCACTCAATAAATAAATGCAAGATACAACTTTTTTATTCCTATCATAATTTTATTCTGAGGAAAAGCATAGATAGACTCAAACAATTTTAGTGTCATGGCCCCATTCCAGAGAGTAGGTTACACAGTTTTGGAAGAAACCTTCTCAGTGAAATTTGACAGAATTCTATGTTTCATGTTACTGCTTATAGCCTACAGAATAACTCTGAGATGATAACTATAGCAAGCAAGCACTTAGGACATCTGGGGAAATGGGAGGTGACCTGATGTTGGATCAAGGGGCATCAGTGAAGCAAGAGGTATCCACATAGTTGAAAGGATTGCTCTGAGTAAAGTGCCAACGGACCTGCTATGTGAAAATGTTTAAGGAACATGATGAAATCTGGGAGCTGAATGAGACTGCGGAAGAGGAGATTGGATAAATGGAAAACTTCAAGAAAGAAAAAAATAGATCTGCAGCAACACTGTGAGCTGATTGAAGCCATGTTGAGACAGAAACAAGGAAGGACAAGGCGTGAAGAAGATGTAACAATAGTATGTGTAGAACAGACTTGGTATTAAGTATATAATGTATCTAGTTTTAAGCATGTCATTTATCTAGTATTAAGTATCTTTTGTACTTATTGTAAGTATTGTATGTATCCTAGTATTAATACTTATCTGACCAATTGAGATAGCATGCTGCTTCACAGGGAGGTCTGACTATCAGACTGGCCATTTCGAGGCAGGTTTAGAAGGTTTCTTTACTCACTTAGGCCTAGTACGTTTTCTGTGCTTAGGCGAATGCTGGAATGGCTTCCTCAAGGGCTGAACCCATAAGGCAGAATGAAAGCCTGCACTTGGTCCTAATTTTGCTTTGTTTAAATTCCCCCAAATAGGTGTGTTCTTTTATTAAATAATTTAAACATCAGCAATAAACCTATCTTTTTTACTACTCTTGCTTTTTATTATCTATACTAGCTGGCCCGACAGACGTCGTCCTGTCCTAGTGTGGATTTATGTCAAATGCTCGTTCATTTTCAAGATGAGTTCGTTCGCATGGCTTAATCATGTCCTGGTTAAAGTTCGTTCGCTACGCTCACTCACCATTTGGTTGCTAATTAGCTGTTGAAGTTCGTTCGCTACGCTCACTCACCTTTAGGTTGGGGCTCGTTCGCTGCGCTCACTTGCCTTCAGGTTAGCTCGTTCGCTACGCTAACTCGCCTCCAGGTTGAAGTTCGTTCGCTACGCTCACTCACCTTTTGGTTGCAAGTTAGCTGTTATCATAAATTTAAAAAAATATATAGTGCTGCACCCTGTTGGTAAACCTATTAACTTTTTAATGCTATTGAACATCACAGAATCAGATAGTTTAGTTGAACCAGCTGTTAAGATTCTTTAATTCCATTTAAATATGAGTACTCATAAGGTTAACATGGTAAACTCCAGAGCCACTGGGGCGGAGCCCTTTTGACGGATCTGCACCAAACTTCACACAAACCATCCTTGAATAATGCTTAATAATGCCTGAAAGTTTCATTACAATCTGTCAAGCGGTTTCGGAGTCCATAAAGGACAAACATACAAATATACAAACATACAAATATACAAACATACAAATATACAAACATACATTGGATTTTATATATATAGATAAATAAATATGTATTTTAAAAATATATTTTGGTAAATACATCTCTTGCCTCTGTTTTTTTTCCAGCTCCAATAAGTTAAGTTTCATCTTCTATCAGTTTCATCTAGTATAATATAAAATCCAATTTATTTCTGTTTGTAATTTGTTTGTTCCAAACCGACCATCTGATTAGGATGAAACTTTGTTAAGTTGTTTTATACACAACCACCCCCCTCCCCCCCCAAGAAGGTTTCTGTCTCATCCCTATTCTTGAACTCTCTTTTGGAGCTCAGCCCCAGTGGCTCTGGAGATTTTCATGTTTACCTATGGGTATTCATTTTTTTAAAGAATGAAGAAAGTTATTGGCAGTTGTTTCAAATATACCAACAAGTTGGGTTCTATGATGTTCAATAGCATTAAACGTTACAAGATTTACCCGAGAGGCAGCAGCAATATTATTACTTTTTCTCTGTTGCAAAGCCTGGGTACAACAGCTAGACCAAATAAAACCCGTAACTTCAGAAAATCATTGGACATTTCTTATTCTACAACTTTATTTTTAGTTCTAGCTGTTACCATTTCACTAGCCAACCTAAAGTAAAATATTGATGTGATTTTTCGTTAAAAAAAAATATACGTACGGTAAAATTCAAGCAAACATGCGTGTTAATGACTAATTTCATATATATGTATGACCATTGATTAATCTTTATATTTCTGTTGTATGTTTTATTTGTGAAGATTAATCATCACATGTTTTAATGTTAAATGAGGAGTAAATAAATAGTGATTGAAATGTTGTACTGAAATTGACTATTCTTATTTTGGCTTTGATAATTGACAATAGATGTTAATGACTAATTTCATATATATGTATGACCATTGATTAATCCTTATATTTGTGCTGTATGATTTTTTTGCGAAGATTAATTAAATATCACATGTTTTTAATAATGTTAAAATGAGTAAATAAATAGTGGTTGAAATGATGTACTGAAATTGACTATTCTTTTATTTGACTATGAGAATTGACAATTTAATAATGCGTACTCGCCGATTTCCAACAGGTTTTGATCAAGGAGATGAAATCATGACAGTTGATCAGATGTTATGTTTGATTTTTTTCTCCTGTCGAAACAAACAGTTCTCTCTATCTATATTTGTTTAGTAACATGAAGACTGTTTCAGAGAACATTATGTATAAAAATTAATGTATTTATGTTACTTAATCCTACTTTCAAAAAAGATTCCAATAAAGCTATGAGAATACTAAACTATTGGGGAATTTGCTTTAAGGAAATAACTAAAGTGAAAGGATATGAAACGGCAATAGGTTTTTTTTTTTTTTTTTAACATCATGATTTTGTTCCAGAAAGAGTAGTTCAAAGCTCTTGGTAGAAAAGACAGTTAACATTTCAAATACAAAATGTCCTTCGTTTGGCCTTGACATGAGTAGTTACATATGTTTAATTAGCTTAGGTGATTATGCTATATAAGAATGGATTGAATCCTTAATCGGAAAATTAATGCTAAAGGTCATGTTAGCACGTAGTGAAGTCACAACTTCAGCTGCTTCATAGTACTGTAAAACTAAAAAATATGTTGGGCGAAGCCGGGCAATAGCTACCCAGTATGCTATACATGTTCCGGATTAAGGTCTCTGATGAGCTCCCTAATTTTGTAACTAAATTTTTTCAAATAAGAACGAAAAGTTATAATGGATCAAAACTGACCCTTGTGGCCTGTCTTGTATTTTGGTTTCTCAACAAATAATGCAATTAAACATTAATTATGGGGCAACAGAACAGCTGATAAAAATTCAACAAACTCCATACAAAATACTTCAACACTCCCGTTGCAGCAAAGCAGGCTAGATCAAATCTGACATCAGTGACAAGCTCTTTACTTCATTCAGTAATATTCTAGTCTTTTTCTACCATAGTCAGTCTCGTCATAGTAGTTGATAAAAGTGTGTGGAGAGATAAACACCACCGACACCGCCAACAATACGTCCAAGAATGAATTGCGTTATGTGATTATATTTCTCTGGTCTAACAGTCAACCCCTTTTAAAGACCCCAGTTTACTTACGAAGAAAGCTTGGGACAATTTACTGTTGCATAGGAAAATGATGCAATCTAATATTCTTTAACCATTACGGCAACTTGACTCAGGTGCCTGGTCAGGTGCGCAGTTGGATGGATAGGCTCTTTTGAGGGTTAAAGGACTTGGTGCGTGATTCTGATGCACCCAGACGGAAGGTCCGTCCACATTCTATCAGTAGTCAATAACGAACTCCAACAGCTGTAGGAAACCCATTTCTCTTACTTCTTTTGGTGCCACAAGTGATTTGCAGACACTTCCCTTATTGCGCAAAATTATGATTGGTTGTTTGTTTGAGTCTATGGTTCTAAGATGCTTCCCAATTAGTCCATGGCCAGACCCTTCAGTATTGCGTGCGTCGGTAACAAAGCCACGTACATGACATTTCACCCAATAAACTCACCTTTACCTTATTCTACAATCATTAGGATTACCTAAATAACCACCTTTACACTTTTGGGAGTATTGAAACACACATGTACTATAATTTAAATACTTTATTGTTTTTTATGAAGGTGTTTTTTGATTTGTTGCTAAAAGTGGTGGGCGCGTGAAAGACTAGAAGGCCGGGAAAGTCCAGCGGGTCTCAAGCTCTGACTCTGACGGCTCAGCGTGACGTCGTGCGTTACGTGACATAACTGTGACGCGTCACTCACCACGTCCTCACGGAGTAGGAGAATCTGGAGATGGGGGCGTGCAGGTAGGGGTAGGTGTAGTAGGGGTAGCTGTATGTGTAGGGAGCTACTGGGGCGTGGACCAGGGCAGCGCTACGGCGGTACCTGTGAACAAAACAATGAACAATGTCATGAAAATATATCTGACATATACTATGCGAGTTTTTTTGTTATTTCTGATACCCTGGGGGATGTTAACACACAATTAACATACTATTGTCTATTATTTGTAGGTTATACATCCCAACTAGTTACAATTTAAAATTGTGTCATTTGATCAAAATATTTAAGGGGAACTTCGCGAACATAATGTTAGCTGGACTGGGCAAATAAAATGCTACAGTATGTTCATTAAGAAGCTTGTATACCTGTGGTGGTGGGAGGGGGCGGCAGGGGCATGGCTTCCAGCCTTAGCGAACTCTGCGAAGTGAGCGGCCTTAGCAGCGGCAACCTCAGGAGTCTCGGCAAGGAAACCCTGGGGAGTGACTACGGGGGCGGCAAGGGGGCCGGCGTAGTGGCTGCCGTGGTGGCTGGGGGCAGCGGGGGCAGAGTAGGGCTGGGGGTTGTACCTGTACAAACACAAGGGTCACTCAACAACTGTAGAAGATAGCTTCTTTATTTATTGACTAGCTGTACACGCGGGCTTTGCCCCGTTTAACTTCTTAATTTTCAAGATGATCTCGTTCGCATGGCTCAATCACGTCCTGGTTGAAGTTCGTTCGCTACGCTCACTCACATTTAGGTTGGAGCTCGTTCGCTGCGCTCACTTGCCTTCAGGTTAGCTCGTTCGCTACGCTAACTCGTCTCCAGGTTGAAGTTCGTTCGCTACGCTCACTCACCTTTTGGTTGCAAATTAGCTGTTGTCATAAATTAAAATAAATAATAGTGCTGCACCCTGTTGGTAATCATTGTAACTTTAATGCAATTGAACATCATAGAATAGAACCAACTTGTTTAATTGAAACAGCTGTTAAGATTCATTAATTATTCCTTTTAAATATGAAAAATCATAAGGCTAACATGGGAAACTCCAGAGCCACTGGGGCGGAGCCCGAGAGTCCGATCAGAATAAAAACAACTTAGTTTTCCTATTTAATGCCTAAAGAATCAATGTACCAAATTTCAGCCTCCTAGGTAAATGGGAAGTGGGAGAATTAGTGATGAGTGAGTGAGTCAGTGAGTCAGTGAGGGTTTTGCCTTTTAGCGAATTTCCCATATAGGGAATAAGCTATTACCGTAGTACTCATGGTAAGACCTGGATGCGGGACCGATTATTTTTTTCGTTTTGAGGTCCCTAGAGGCCAAAAACACCATCCGTTCAAATTCATATATATATATATTTATATATATATACATATATATATATGTGTCCGTCAGCACGATAACTCGAGCAAAAATGATCCGATTTGGATGAAATTTGGTACAAACGTGTAAACGTACGTTTATTCGAACGAGTTCGCGATCCAGCATGATCGGACCATGGGAACGGGGGTTTACAGGGGGTTTTATGGGGTAAAAATAGGTTTTTCCTATTTTTGACCCAAAAAACATAAAATTTAGCAATTTCTTTCCAAACCATTTTGTAGAGCTTAAAAAAACAAATAATTTAGTATATTGAAGCGTTATTATGCGCCTAATAGTTACGGAGAAAATTCCAAAAAATTGTAAATTTAAAATTCCCATGTTATTCTTATGGAGAATAAGTAAACTGTTGTAGTTTGCTTGTTTGTGAACATATTTTGATCAAATTTGGAAAATGTTTTTATTTCTCACTACCTATTCACATAAAAAAAAAAAAAAGTTTTACGCTCCCTGATGCAGCAAACCTAAGTACTTGTTAAACTAATTCTATTTAAATCAAGAATAAATGTTATATTTTTAAGTAGACATTTCAGTGTAAATCCAATCAGTCAAATGGAAATTCGCTTAGTCTGCAGGTTTGCTGCGGCGGGGGTATTATAAGTATAGATTCACAATCAGTATAACCAATTTCCTAAATGTGAAAATGACTTTAGTGTTTTTTTTAATGTGAAAGGCTTTTGATGGTCATGCTTTAACTCGTCGGTATATTAAAATCACTATATTATTATCACTCATCGGTAATAATAATATTTATTCACACAAGTGTTTTACTTACATAGATTTTACGTTTTCCGAAAAATTAGAAATTCCAACCACAAAAATAAAAGTTTTTACGTCAACAATACAGTAACTATTACAACCAGAAACCGAAAATGTTGTGTTGTTGTGATTCGTTTATCATATCAAAATTAATAATATATTTCTACATCGTTTGTGTCCTGTGTTGAATGAATGTGACCAACGAAGCTACTCAAGCGGGTGTAATGTATTTCCTTTACTGGGGCGTTTGAAAATGGCAAACCAGCGAAATTTGTTAAGAATGAAATTGTTGATGATATTGTGAAACCATTATTAGCCGATATTGCAGTTCCGGGACTTTTACAGTATAATAAATACCATTGTGTTTGGTAGTTCCCAATTTGTTGCGTGACAAGTTAGAGTTAACTCTTTTGAATAGACAAAATTTTATTGGTTATAATTGTAAGAACGGTTATAAAATAGTTGTACAGTATCTGCTAATATTTTGTTATAAAACCCTAACCCCTGGGTGAGATGCTTGCTGTGAGGTCTACTCACCCTTGGTAAGAGCTGGGAGCCTGGGGGTAGCTGTTGTAGGCTGGGGCAGGAGCAGGGGCGCCGTAGTTGGGGTTGTCGTACTCGGGGCGGTAAGATCCGTCGTCGTAAGCCTCAGGTCCCTTTGTGGCGACCTTAGCCTTCTCAGCGAAGTGAGCGGCCTTGGCGGCGGCAATCTCGGGAGTGTCAGCTAGGAAGCCTTGGGGAGTGACAGAGGGGTTGCCGTAGTACGGTGCGACGGGGGCGGGTGCGGGGTTGTACTGGGGAGCAGGGTTGTACTGAGGGTTGTACTGGGGGTTGTACGCTGGGGCAGGGTTGTAGGCGGGAGTAGGGTTGTAGGCGGGAGCTCCGTTGTACGGTCCAGGGGCGTAGCCCGGCGACGACACCTTGGCTACTTCGGAGAAGTGCGCTGCCTTGGCAGCAGCCACCTCGGGTGTGTCGGCGAGGAAGCCGTTGGGGTTGACCACCGGGGAGGCTTGAGGACCGGCGTACCCTCCGTAGGCGGCGGAGGCGGAGGCGAAACACGCCGCGGCAAGAACAACCTGAGACACAAAAACACAATAGGTCAAGAGATTGTTGATACTATATTTATAGATTCTGTGCATTTCCAACTTGAAATTAACAGACTGGATCACGTTGGTACAAAACAAAAGGCTGAAAATATCTGTACTACTATCACATCTGATGTTTCTTCTAGGCGACTGGTTTCTAATAGTAATTCTTGTTTTTTAATAAAAATGCAGGGATCGCCTGGTAGGACAACAAATCTTTTTCATATTTTTTCCATACGTATTTAATTTAAATATTCCGTCCCATAGCATGTATAAACATAAGGTCGTGGTCGTGTGTTTTCTTCAACGCAGACGAAATCAAAAAGTGTCCTTCTGTATTAGGCAGACGCCGTGTAGTACTATGGACCATAAGAGTTGTCTGAGGGGTGCTACATGCACTTTTCAAATACAAGCAAGGATCAGCCATCATGCAATGATTTAACAAACAATTATAAAAAATGAAGTGAGATCTATAACGTGACTTCTAAAACTGAGTTTTTGGTTAACTGTAGTAACCAATTAAAATACATTTATAAACAATCAGTGAATATGTACAAAGTTGAATTTAATAGGTAGTTTGCTATTTTTGGGGTTTGTGTGTTTTTACCATTTTCATAAGAACTACCGTCTGTATAATTTATGTTTGGTCGTGTAAACATTTATAAACGCATACAATAGCTTCATAAATAAATTACAATTGTTATAGCTAGACGGTGTATCTTTTTATTAGTGAGCGTATATATATAGTAGTTGTAAATTGTTAAATATATTTCATGGGGAAAATTCAAAGATTTAGTTTGAAATTGGAAAAATCAATTTAAAATGTATAACATAGTTGTATGATATACAAAACGATTATTTCAAAATTCCGATAGTTTCGTCAAAATGTAAAGTTTTTCGGCATTCTCGTTTTTTACGTAGTTTCAAGCGCCACTTCAATGTTTAACAGTTTTTAATAAATTTATTGTATACTGTGGAATTTTAGTTTGTTGGTAATACTTTACCTGGTTTCCTAGTATGTAGAAACATAAACTCTTTGCCAATATAGAATGTCGCAAAGTGTGCCATTGAACGGTTGAGTGAGGGAGGTGTCGAACCCGTGAAATGTAGAACGTCAAACTCGCACTGTGGACACGGCTAAACGGCTAGTTAGCACCAATACAACTGGCCACTGGCTCTAACGGAGCGTGCGATTTGAAAAGTAACTAATTAAATAATTCTTTGCAAGCAAAATTTGTTTGGTGTTTGAATGTAAGGTCAATTCAATCAATTCCCATAGTATCAAAAGCTAAAAAGTAAATATGATTTTACAAAAGCTCAATCAGTTCAAGCTAATTCAACTACAACGCTTTTAGCGATAGCACTCCATTTAAATTAAAAATTGGCCACAGTTCGTCTCTGGGACTATGATATCTACTTTGTTAGCTTTAATAAATTGTTTACTTAGTTTATATTTGATTACAAAAATGTATCTATTTAATGCAAAAATGTCTCACAAAAACGTATGCGTATAAGGCTACAATTAAAACATAATTTTTGTGAGTTAATGATAGTTAGTAAACAAAAGATTAGAAAAAATAAAATGATCATTTATGGTTTACAATTTCGACATTTTCCATTTAAACATGTTAGCACGATTTAATTACCGTTAATTTTAAATCTAGGCCAAAGTTAAAATAAAATCATATTAATACATTTACTATCTTGTTAGTTAGTACAACTTTAAACATAATTAGTTACCAATGAATTGTTAAATTATTCCATTAATTGTATTAACAGTAGCGATGAACTAAATCACACGCAAAGGGTTTAACTTAGTCTTATTTATGCTGATTCCGATTACTAAATATGCGTCGATTTTAAGAATTGGCTACTCAATACGCCATTTAATTATCAATTGTTTGGTTTCATGATCTCATGCCGAATTCCAGCATCGGCCAAAAATATGTAATGTACAGACTTCTCTATTTTCACCCCTTTCCCTGCGTAGGCTATCTATGCGTAGGTTTTCCCCGAAATGCACACGAACTAAGAAAAAAAGTGTTAAAGAAACATGTTTGCCTATTAATACATAGATTATCCCTATCTCATTGTTATATAGGATACTTCTAGTTGTTGTCAAGTTTAATGCTAAAATAAACATTTTAATCTAATTCTAAAGATAACATTATTTTAACATCACTTGTACGAATAAAAAAAATGTTATACACAAAAATGTTTAAACATCCACGACTTCAAATTATACATTTCCGCGTGCAAATACATTTTTATACATTTCTTAAACATTGCAATTGTAGTATTGTGAATTTAATTTATTTGTTTTATCAGCTCACGAATGTTAAGTTCCTTATTTTAACGACCCCTAATGTAATTTGGAACGTATGACATACCTTACTGTACTCTCATTAAAACACAGATTTAGTTAAATAGGCCTACATATCGTTATAAATTATTTTATTTCCTTAAATTTTTGTAGGTAACAATATTGAGACTGTGACCATAATGTGTTTGAATACACCAGTTAATTAATCATATTTAAAAAAAAAATCTATAGTTTTCTCATTTGTTAATTTTGACAAATAATATTCCATACTTATCAGTTAGTATCTGTAATGAATGTCGTACTCACCAAAACCTTCATGTTAAACAACTGTGAGACTGTGAGACCTAGAGTGAGGTTGGCTGCTGCTGCTTATATAGCTAACACCAAGGACGTCCCCGCCACCTCCAGGACAGGGACTACAGGGGCTACGGCCCGTGGTGTCTAGGGTCAGCAGAGGGTCGTGTGTGGATATATGGGGGGAATTCAAAAAATAATACTCATAAAACATTGTGTAAATAGAAAAACAACAAAATGAATTGGAAAACAAAATTTAAAATTAAAAATCGGAAGGATAAGGTTGGAAGGAGTCGTAAATGGATATTATACGTCCTCGGCCATCCGTGTTGACAAAATTGATGGTAAGCTAAACAAAATGTTACAAATAACGCTGATGTGTATAGGGTTAGGTATAGAGAACAATATTATTGTCAGACGTCAGCCGATCATGTATAGGGAAATAGGTGAGAAAGTAAAATAAACAGAGTTTTTACAACATGCCAATGTGTATGAAGTGCATTTAAATAGAAATAAATGGAAAATTCAAAATGGCTAGCTAAAGTTGGAAGGGGGAGAAATGAGTTGGACAGGTCTTTAGGAGGCAGCATATGCACATCATATTTTAGCAACAATAACACAATTCTCGTCTAAATTTTTATAAAAATTTGACAATACATTGTATTAATCTAACAACATATATTACTATAGTAAACATTATTATCACCCTACCGAATTAGATAAAGAGTGTTTTCTTGTAATTAATCAATTATTATTACCCAATCTGCTAAAGCTAAAAACTTAAAGTTAAAGAATAGGAAAAGCTGCTCAAAACTAAAACATTGCCACTCTCAAATTTACAATATTAGGCCTACTTGTTTCCATACTGGTTCTTGTTCGTACTTGAAATAACAAATTATTTATGTTTACTATGAGATGGAATACGTAACGTTTCTATTGTTCTTTTGTGGCTTTTACAGTATCGCCTGTTTTAGAGAAGAGCATAATGGACCAAACCGAACTGTATATATTACTGATTAACTTGTCATGCTAAAAGACTTTGCTAAAAAAAGTTAAAAATGGTTGTAATTTCCTAATTAAGTAACGTTATTTCGTACAAAAAATGCCTTGGATACTGTAGTTTTTGCATTGGGAACTATTTGCATTACTTGTGATTCGCGACGGGATGACGGCGCGGAAGAGAATAATTTTGAAGGTTTTGAAATCTTTTGTTTAAACCGCTACACACCAACCAAAAGGTAACTGATCCATTAAGCTTTTAATTTATTTTTATTTATTTTTACCTTAATTAAATCTGCAGCGTGGCTAAATCAACTAAATGACTTAATGAAAACTTAAACATTGAGTATTTTCTTTTCGTTGTTTTAAAAATTAACCAAAATTTACTACCAACAACAACCTTATATAACCTCAAAACTATTAACTTTTTAGGGACGTAGCCTGAAGGGATTATACGGCTACGAACAAATATGTATGTCGGTCAGGTCCATCATTACACCACATAGATACTTTGGGAAAAATTCAGCCAAATCGGACCAGAAGTATTTGCGTTTACCCGGAACTATTACTGTAGATACACACCAATGTAGTTCAAGTGATGAGTCTAAACTGAAGCGATTTGTTTTTGGGTCAACCGAAGCTCCACTGTTTACCTCGTTACTCGTCGATTGTCGCGTTTTACAGGGTTTGTCAATGTTTTGTAGCAAGAGGCGAAAGTACTCTAGTTTTAACACTGCTTCCGGTGCAGTGTTTTGGCTAAACTATCTAGACTGTTTTATAAATGTTTCATTATTAATTGAAGTGTTTTAGTCCTGTGCCAGTTTGCCTATAGTATGTTTGTAAGAATTCTTGCTTCACAAAGTAATTGTCAAAAATCTTGAGTAATTGAGAAAAACATTCTGTTTCTCCGCTTAATCTAAATTGATTGGATGCCTTTTTAGCTAAACGAAACTTCAATGGATCATCAACCATGAGCGTTTGTATAATATGCCCATATTCACAAATGTATTTATCAGAAAACATTGTAGTAATCAAAATGACATGGTTTGTAATAACATAAGGTGGTTGTGCAAGCAATATATGTTCGTATAACGTATAACATAGCACAACACTTTAAATATTAAGTAGTGTAAATCTTTTTTGAACTACTGTAAATGCTGTTTAAGCTCAACATTTTTCTAGGGGTTTAACTATTTTTTCGTTGACATTGGTGATTTATTGAAACTCTAAACGTAAACTTGCTTTCATGGTGTTGCAAGTTTTACAATTCTCATACTTTGATGTGCAACTTTCCGGAATCTTTTTTACGCATCGGTAAATCAATGTCATCGCAGGACTTAACAGAATTATATCGAAGGGCTAATTGATTGGAGTAGCCTAATCCAAGGTTTAGTGTTAATACTGATGTATTACGTAGGTGGGACCAGACCAGGGCATTCTGGTCGCGGTCTGTTTGGTACAGTGTTAGTGGCACAAATACCACTGTCCACTGTATTACTCGATATAGAGGAATAGCATCCGTACAGTTTCCATTTGCAACTGGTGTATTATTGATTAAAACACGTAATGAAATATATAGTTTATAATGACAACTATTTGAAATAGTGTCAATTATCTAGCTACGTTTGACAATTAATGGTCTAATGGTCAGTTAATGATTTCAATATTTGCTAGTAATTATGATAATTCTGAAAAAAGATTGAGGCCATTTTATCGTTACCGAAAACAGCACAAGTTCAATAATTAATTATAAGCCGTGTGAAAAATCAGACTTATTTTAAAATTTACCATTTTTTTTTATGTATACTGATTTTTATTTTAAAATTTATTTTACTGGTTTTGATTAGAAAATTAAAAAACAATTTTTGATTGAAAAATCAGTATAGCAGTTTTTTGTTTACCTAATTGAAACAAAAATTCTGAATCGTTATTGACATCCAAAAGGAAAACCCAATAGTTGGTCTACGCTTGGTAAATAAAGGGTTGCATTGTAAAATGTAGGAATAAAAACAGGTAATATGTTAGGGAAATAAATAATGTTAGAAAAATCTAATTTCAACGAATTTTATCATTTCCCAATGCAAGGATTTCAATCGCGATATTTTATCTGGTCTTCATAGTTCTGCAAAGCAAATTAAAACTGGAACATTCTCCTTTTCTCTATCTACATTTTTATCTAAAACTACGGGATTACTCAGAAAAATTTTAAAATGTCAATAGAATAATCTTCGTCTCTAAAAGTTATTAAATTAAAGGCTCAATATTGAAGTCTAAGTTACTCGTATATTGACACTCCTTATCAACCGTACAAATGCCAACAGACTCGTTTATTCCAAATGCAGCCAGCAAGAATGCAAGAATGCCAATCACAATCTTTTATTTGGACTGTATTGCGTTGTAAAGAAAGAAAAACATTCTGTTCCTCCGCTTAATCTAAATTGATTGGATGCCTTCAAGCTAAACGAAACTTATGGATTGGCTAGCGTGAAATGCGAGCTGGGAGGGCGCAGTATGAAGACCGGTGATCCACTATGTAGATGAGGAAGTGGCCGAAGTGGTCTAGCCTTGGTGAAGTGGTCAAAACATGCTTCCTTGTCGAGTTAAGCTCACGTTTTGTAGTAGGTCTATTTAATAAAATATACCACCGTCGTAGAAAACCTGCTGACTAAGCTAATTCCTATTTTGTACTTGGATTTTGACCAGAATCTTTCCTTAATAATGTCAGATTGATTCCCAATTTTTAAATAGCATTAGGTTTAATAATAACTTAGTTTTGGTAAAGTGCCTCGTTTAGTAAATTGTGAATAGCATGAAGTAAAAAAATGCCAAATTTTAACAACATAATATATCCAGAAACAGTCAAACTTGTACAGTTTACTTATATTCTCTATAATAATAACATGGAATAAATTATTTATTGTAATTATAAATTTTAGTTTGTTTTTATTTTCTCCGTAGTAATTGTACAACAAAGCGTCTAACCGTGATGACAGACGTAATCTAGTAACTTTTCTACAGGGAAATTCGCGAATACAACTAATTATTGAATGATAGTGGACTTTGAATTCAACAGGGTGGTCTTTCAAAATAAAAGTAGGTGTATTTATTACTAGATCACGATATTGAGATGGAGATGACACTAATAAGTGAGTGGTATTATGATCAAAATTAAAGTTAAACTTGGGAATAGAGGACCTGTGTAGTTTTTTTTTTACTGACTAAGGTCGACTGTTTCTTGAACCATCGAAAAGCTACAGACAGTCGGTTAATCTCAGAATGGACCCGCCGACTTGCAGATTTTTAGTGGAGATTTCGAGCAATATAACCAACCATTTAGCACCAAGTTATAGTTTCTACACTCTAGTAAAGAAATTATGTATACAAGTATCAAATCTTTACTCGCAAAAAAAGTAAAGATTGTGTGGTTCTTGATATCCAGTTTTCACATTAGACTTGACTTAGTAACTTGTACTTAAATTTATCTCCAAGAGAATTTCCGTTCCAATAAATACAGTAAACCTTGTTGTACGCATGTATTAACATTTTTACTAGTGTAAAATAAAGACCATTTGACACTATAAGATATTTTAAGTATTTAGATTAATGTACTTATTTTTATTCAAATGTATAATCATGAACCCTTCAATTTCGTCATAAAAATGTATATCAAAATCTAATAAACAATTAAACTATACAAACACGTAGTTATACACTTTTTTCTCGCAGCAATAATTAAAATTGATTATGGATTCAAGAACATGTTTAATCGGTTTCCATCGATAAACCGACTTTTATTCAAATCTAATACTTATAATCCGCTATATCAGATACTGTAAACCAAAGTCCATTGAATCTACGTTCAAGGAAATGCACCAAACCCCATTAATTAGACTATATAAACACGAATAAGATTTTTACTAGCGGTAAAAATGAGCTCAGCTTGCTACTGGAGGACAAATTTTAGTGAAAGAACTAAATTTGTATCTAAACTTTACTAATATAACCCCATAATACATTCCAGGACAACACCCACACCATTCATTATATTATAGGCGCTAAACCGTGTAAACACGTATAAACTTTACTCGCACCAAAATATCGTTTGGCTCTGGCGAACATGT